TGTCCCTACAGTTCCCATCATGTTACAGGTCCCACCATGTCCCTACAGGTCCCACCATGTCCCTACAGGTCCCATCATGTCCCTACAGGTCTCATCTTGTCCCTACAGGTCCCACCATGTCCCTACAGGTCCCACCATGTCCCTACAGGTCCCATCATGTCCCTACAGGTCCCATCATGTCCCTACAGGTCCCACCATGTCCCTAGAGGTCCCACCATGTCCCTACAGTTCCCATCATGTTACAGGTCCCATCATGTCCCTACAGGTCCCACCATGTCCCTACAGGTCCCACCATGTCCCTACAGGTCCCATCATGTCCCTACAGGTCCCACCATGCCCCTACAGGTCCCATCATGTCCCTACAGGTCCCATCATGTCCCTACAGGTCCCATCATGTTACAGGTCCCATCATGTCCCTACAGGTCCCATCATGTTACAGGTCCCATCATGTCCCTACAGGTCCCATCATGTTACAGGTCCCATCATGTCCCTACAGGTCTCTTCATGTCCCTACAGGTCCCATCTTGTCCATACAGGTCCCATCATGTCCCTACAGGTCCCATCATGTCCCTACAGATCTCTTCATGTCCCTACAGGTCCCATCATGTTACAGGTCCCATCATGTCCCTACAGATCTCTTCATGTCCCTACAGGTCCCATCATGTCCCTACAGGTCCCATCATGTCCCTACAGGTCCCATCATGTCCATACAGGTCCCATCATGTCCCTACAGGTCCCATCTTGTCCCTACAGGTCCCATCATGTCCCTACAGGTCCCACTGGTCTCTGTAGCTGTGGTTCTGACACACGTGTGGATGTGGGTACCTCAGTACAGAAGGTGTTCTCCATCCTCTGGCTCAGGGTGGGTTTCAGACACGTGGTGGAGACCACCGACACCAGGCTGCCGTTGTGGTTCTGGGAGGACGGAGCCCAAGAGACAGCAGCAGTGCTGGAGTCCAGCAGTCTGATGCTGACGGCCTGAGGACGCTCCCGCAGCTCCTCCAGCAGCTCGCCGTCAGGACCTGGATGGTTCCCATCAGGACCAACACAGAGAAGCACATAAACAAGTTGATGTAAACAACAACAGATCTGTTCAGTCTAATACCTAATGTAATAATCCATCCAASAGCCAGTTTTATTCTTTTTCTAATGTTTTTACTGAATCAAATCAGCTCAGAGGCACTGATGTGTCCGTCAGCTGACATTTCACAAAGAAAACAACAACATGACTGGGAAGAAAACAACTTGGACACAAAGGTAAAGGTTGAAAGAAAAAGAAGGATCTCTGTCTAACATGATAAAAGAGCTGAGTGAGTTCAGAACAACACATAATCTTTAAGGATTTGTTGACAACAGTTTGAATTTGTAATTAGTTGTCTATAGATCAGGTTCAAATATAGTTATTTATTAATAACATCATGGAGTTCTAACAAAACCATTTTAACTGTTTTTTAAATCTTAATTTGTGTTTCTTTAAACTGAAGTCTGGGATGTTTGTTGTTGTTTACATTGGAAACCTGGTAAACCAGCTGCTTGTGAAGGTTTTAGTTGAAGAATCAGAGTTATGGGTCAGTTTATTCAAACCCATCTGAGGATCAGAACCTTTCCTGCCGACTCACCGAGGTAGAAACTGAAGCCGGTCTCAGCGCTGCTCTCTCGGGCCTCACACTCTCCGGATGAACTCAGAGTGGTGATCTGCACTCGGTACGTTCCCGGCTCCATCAGCTCCACGAAAAACTCATGAGTGTTCTCGTCCACAGTGGCCATCTCTGTAGAGTTCCCTGGAGAGGAACAAGGAAGATCAATCAGAATCACTCCGGTTCAGATGAAACCTGTCTGAACTGGATCCATGAGCTACAACGTTTGGTAACATGTCAACAACCTTTGACCATAAATGGTTAGTTTGGCACAATTACAGAAACTTCACAAGTATTTCACTCCTGTTTCTGACCAACAAACCAGTTTCACTCCTGTTTCTGACCCACAAACCAGTTTCACTCCTGTTTCTGACCAACAAACCAGTTTCACTCCTGTTTCTGACCCACAAACCAGTTTCACTCCTGTTTCTGACCAACAAACCAG